TTCCCCGCTGTCCCGGAGATTTCCCTATGGGCTGTCGTCTTGCGAAGGAAGCCCATAGGGAAATTCGTTTTGCGAAGCGCCTCCAAAACGGAAAACCCTTTCGTCTAGCGGGTTTTCCGTCTTGCGAGGCGTTCGTCTTGCAAGGTACCACTGTATAGAAGCTGCCTGGCTAGCTCAGACCAGGCTGTATTCTCTACCAGATTTATCACCACTTAACTACCTGCATTTGCAGCCTGCGCCAACAGATCTTCTTTGCATCATTGTCTTTGTAATGCTGACTTCCCTCCCTGCACAGTTCAGTTTCAGGCTTTCCAGTGGATCACAAATAAACCAGCCCAGCCTGTTCCTATGCATTTAACATAAACTGAATCTATAAGATAGAAGCAAGTGGAGCTTCTCACTACTAAGAGATACCACATTTCCATTTAATCTCTAAAGATCAAGCTGCTTGAAAAGGCACAGGACCAGTTTGTTTTTTAAAAAGTTTACAATTCCAGTGTGGCGAAGCCTTTGCTCACGTTATTACATGCATTTTACCTGACAACATTGTGCCAGGTTACTACTTCTTTAAAAAAAAAAAATCAAGCAATAGCAGTTACAGCAAAAGCTCGCCAGATGGTGCCATAATGTTAAAAGTGCTTTCAAGCTGATCTCCTTGGTGGCTAAGTCAGTACTGAAACTTGTCTTGGTTGCACATATTCAGCGCTGTGCATCTTTGCAAAATCCACTGGATGGAATATGAAGTCTGCGTTTGTTTAAACTGGGGTGATCAGGAGAACTAGCAGGACATAATTGGCCAAGAGACTGTGATGCGCACAAAGAAGTTCTCGCTTCAGATTTCAACCCAGTGATGAAACTGACCTTAGGTAAACCATGTTATATTTGGGGAAGGATCACACATCCCGCCCACACACACCTGGGAGATAAATGGAGAACTGGTGTGGCAGAGTGCCTAACACACTGAACTATGAAATAAGTAGATCATGTAGCTTTCTCCAGCCTGATGTTGGAGTACAGTCTCCATAAGCCCCAGCCAGCATGACCTAATTGTCAGGAATAGGGCATTAAAGTCCATAATATTTGAAGGGGAGCAAGTTGTGGGGAAGTGTGTGTGAAGCGCTTACTTGAAAGCATCATATAAATGTTCAGTATTGTTTACGTCGACTTGAAAGTTCCCCAGAATGCAGTGTCTGTAAAGACCAATAGAGGAACTGTGATTCCCTGCTTGCTTATTTCAGAACAGCTTGGTGCCAGCTCAATTGCAATGTAATTTACGTGCTTATGTACCTCTCTTCAAACCATAGCTGTCAACTGTTCCCTTTTTTAAAGGGAAATTCCCTTATTCCGAATAGGATTCCTCGCAAGAAAAGGGAAAAGGTGACAGCTATGCTTCAAACCTCTGGATTGTCCACAGGCACCTGATGAAAGCCTCTTCTTTCTCTCGCAGGAGCTGAACATGCCTTTGACGGACGCCTGAACCTTCTTGGCCGATTATCACTGGTGACGGAAAAAGATCTCTGGGCTGTCAATGGGCTTCCCAATGAAACCATCTCCTCTGACCATCTCCCTCTCCTAGCCAAGTTCAGGCTGGAAGAGTAACACCAAAATAACGATGACCCACCTGTCTTTTATCGTTCCACTTTCCTTTTCCTTAATTCTACATCATCAAAAGGGACTGGAGAGTGCATGCCTCCTTGATGGGTTTTAAATACAGGTATATATATATATTGTAAATTATCACAGCTACTCAGATATAAAAAAAGCAAATTGGAGTTTTACATTGGGATTCCTTTTTTAATAATGGAAAGTATTTGTGCAGTAATTTTTAAAAAATATATATTTACTTTTCATCAAAGAGATGGTATAAAGTGCTTTTTAAAACAGAAATGATGATCAGATTTTTATTTCTTTATATTTTGATTCTCACCCTTCCTCCCAAAGGAGTCCAGGGCAACAGTCAACAAGGCAGCAAAACAATAAAAATAAAACAAGTAAAAACCATCACACGTCCTTTCAGCTATAGCCTTCATGGAGCTCCCTTAATCCTACAGGCAAGCATTTCTTCTAGACATTGATTTAATTGTTTTCTTCCAAGGAGATGGGCTTCACTATATCTTTACCTCCTTTCATCCTCTGAGTAGCCCAGAGAGGTGTGTGTGATGATGAAAGTGAACCCCTTTCTACCATCTGGGCTTTCAGGGCTGTGCCTGGGATTTGAACTTGAGTTTCTGACATCTAAGTCCAGCACTTTGTGGTTGCGGCCATGTTCCTAGAGAGTCTTTACCCCAGTTTGCTTTTATGATATTCCCAAAGGTCTGACTGCCTCTTCTGACTTTGGCAGTGGGTTGGGTGCCTGTTTCTCGAACCCGTGTCCATGGAGCTCATAGTGGCAGTGGTGCAAAATGTATTTTTCTATCAGGTAAACAGCCTGAGGCAAAGGGTCAAATATCAGGAAATCCTGTTTCACGAATTGTGCAAGATACAGTTAGGCCTTGAGGGAAGTTGTGTGTGTAAAAATGGAAAGGGTGTTTCTGTCCCTGGCACAGAGCCACAGCGATTTGCAAAGCCACACCTATTTAATATTTGCCTTGCAAATAAATCTGGGGCAGCCGTATCACCCATCAACTTAGAACTTGATTTCTACTTTTGACTCTTTGATAGCCTAGAAGCGGGGGAGGTGGACCCTGAATGAAGTACCTTCCCATTTACAATACTTTGGCTGGCTGGCCTGGTTCCCTGTAAGCAATTTATTGATCATCACAGGTGAGTGGCTGTTGACAAGTCTGGCCAGTTACACAACTGTGAGCTGCAAGGAGAGCAAGATGACAAGGTTGCATGGGCAGCTTTGCTAATTCAAGGGGAGCACAGTCAAGCCCTTTGCTTGGCAGTTCTACTGTATTCTCCGATTACCTTGGTCCTCGGAAGCTGTTCTTCAGCACTAATGTTCTACAATGTCCCTGCAGGTTTTGCTGACTTTCAGTTTCTTTTTTAAAGGGAGGGAGAGAGCTCAGAGTAGCTATTTAACTGCACACGAAGCAATGAAGAATACACCTGAAATAACCTTTGCATTTGGCAGAAAACCAAACACCAAGACTGCATTTCTCCATAGGTTTGAAACAAACAGATGGAAGCACAGTTCATTCGTTTAATAATCCAAATACAGTCGTACCTTGGTTCTCGAACGAAATCCGTTCCAGAAGTCCATTAGATTTCTGAAAACGTTTGAAAACCAAGGCACGGCTTCCAATTGGCTGCAGGAGCTTCCAGCACTCAAATCAGAAGGCGCGCTGGATGTTTGGCTTCCAAAAAGCGTTCACAAACTGGAACACTTCCAGGTTTGGGGCATTCAGGAGCCAAAACAGACGAGTACCAAGGCGCTTGAGAACCAAGGTACAACTGTATAGTTATAATTCTGTACTCTGCAGTGCAGCTTAAAAAACAATCCTCATGCTAATGGCTTAATAGAACACACGCAAGACATAGACAGCAGCCATATAGCGAGTCACACCATTGGCTTGTCTAGCTCAATATTGTCTACATGGCTCTCCAGGGTTTCAGGTGGGATAAGAACGTAAGAAGAGTCTGCTGGATCAGGCCAGTAGCCCATCTAGTCTAGCATCCTGTTCTTACCATAGCCAACCAGATGCTTGTGGGAAGCCCGCGAGCAGAACCCAAGCATAAGAGCATGACACGGTATAATATGTCATGTACTGTAGTGGTGTTCATCTGAGCTTGTTTTTACCTAATTTTAAGGCCTGCTAAGGAACAGGTGATAGTTATTATTTCCTCATACGTAAAACCACAGAATTCAAAGAGGGTATACTTTCTTTTCCCCCATGACTGTGTCGTCGTTTAGTCGTTTCCGACTTTTCGTGACCCCATGGACCAGAGCACACCAGGCACTCCTGTCTTCCACTGCCTCCCACAGTTTGGTCAAACTCATGCTGGTAGCTTCAAGAACACTATCCAACCATCTCGTCCTCTGTCGTCCCCTTCTCCTTGTGCCCTCCATCTTTTCCAACATCAGGGTCTTTTCCAGGGAGTCTTCTCTTCTCATGAGGTGGCCAAAGTATTGGAGCCTCTGCTTCAGGATCTGTCCTTCCAGTGAGCACTCAGGACTGATTTCCTTCAGAATGGATAGATTTGATCTGAAATAAGGATGGAGCTATGTAGAGCCACTGGCTGGCTTTGAGGTTTTTTCCTGCATTGTGATTTTGGTCAGGGCACCTGCTCTTGTGATTCACTGCCCCCTGCATGAGGCAGGGGGGAGCTGCATTCATTCATGGTTTTTCCCACATCGCCAGGTCAAAAATTATGAATCAGTTATCACAATATGGGTTTCAAACTAGTTTTGGATGATATATCAATATATTTTCCAGCTCTAATTTCTGGACTACAACTCTCATAATCCCTGATGCACCTGGCCTCTCAGGCTGGACCTAAGGGGAGCTGGAGTCCCAGAACATCTGGAGGGCCAGAGGTTCCCCATACCTTACATGCAACAAGAGCTACGCATATGTTTTCAATCCTGGTGCTGGGTCTCTGCAAAGCTTGGATAGGACACTGGCCCACTGATCTTGCTAGACTACAACTGCTATCATCCCTGAACATTGGCCTTGCTGGCTGGGGTTGATGGAAGTTGTAGTCCAAACCACAGCTAGAGGGCTTCCCCTTTCTTTTTAAAAAAGAGCCTTTCTTTAAAAAGCAGTAACCCCACTGATCACCTGGTTGGAGAGCTGGATTTAGTTCCTCTTCCTGTTGTAATGTTTTAATGTTTTTGTGTTTGCAGCTCTGGGCTTCTTTGGGAGGAAGGGCGGGGTAGAAATTTAATAAATAAATAAAATACTTGGCACAATTACTGCATTAAAAAAAAAGCACAGCACATGCTCAGCTGCATCAGGACTATTTGGTGTCTCATAGCCAACATTAATAATCAAATTCTATCACTGTGGGATAAGTTGGGTTTCTTTTTAAAAATAAATAAATCACAAGAGGCTATAAAAAAACCCAAGACTTCCAAGATATTTTATTAAAGTTCCATGCTGCACTAAACATACAAATGATGAGAAAAACAAAAAAAAGAAATCATGCACATTTCTCACCCAGAACAGCATTTGACAAAAAATTATGGCAATAGAGAAACCTAGTCATTGAAATCACAGTTACTAAGTTTTCAAAATCGCAGGTATGTGTTTTGATAGAATAGGATTCATCTGTACGTAAGGAAAATGACGCCTGGATACAAAATAATTCATCCACATTAGAAAAGTTTCATTGGGAGGTTTGGACTAGGGCGGGGGGGGGAGGGCCTAAATCCAGATTCACACCATACAAATAAAGCAGAACCAACACACATTTAAAACACATAGCTTCCACCCCATAAATCCTGGGGAACTGGTTTATTAAGGGTTTGGGGAACCAAAGCTCAATGAGAATAAAACTACGGTTCCTAGGATTCTTTGGGGAGGGGGGTCAGTGTGTGCTGAACGTACTTTAAATAGATGGTGCAAACCCTGAATGGTGTGTTCATCTCAAGAACTAATGCAAGTAGAGTTCATGATGGATCATGCCCCAAACACTTCACATATATTAGAGACATACATTATAGTACTTTAGAAAAAACAGAGAAAATCCAGACTCAGGATGTGACTTGGTTCCCACAGCACAGTAAGCCAGACTGGCTTAGCAAGCCCAGACAAGCATGGGGGTCTCAAGAGAAGCTTGCACCCAATCTGCTTCCTGGTCTTCCACTGCTGTGCTGAGCTAAAGCAGGGTTTGTTGCAGCACATCAAACAGGGACCCGTGGTTAAGCTCACGCCTCGCTAACGATGAGCTGTGGCAGATTTGTCCTTGGCACAGCATGTTCGTAAAAAGGACCAGGGAACAGCAAACTCCTCCCGTAGCCTCCACACTCAGGTGGTCTCACTAAGCCATAGCTTGGTTCATTTAATCATGTGAACCAGCTCTTCGTATGGCACGCAGCCTCTTTTTTATTTTATTTTTAAATCCAAACACTGCATTTCACTGCTAAAAAAATCACTGCAATAAGAAAAGTGTCACATTAATCAGCCCTCAGTGGTACTTAAAACTTATTTGGGGGGGGGGAACCCTGCCCTTTAGATTTTCGACAGCAGTCCTCTTCAGGCATTTAGGGTGAAGGGGTGTGGGCTAAAAAACGAGAATTCAGGCAGGAGGATGAGCACCTAAGCCATGCTCCAGCCTTCCCCAAGCACACAGAGTCCACTTCAGAACTTCTGTGCTGAGATGGAAGATCTGAAAGGATCTTCTAAGCATGCTTGGAGAACGTGGGCAGATCTCATGCGGAGCTCGCCCAGGCCAGCATGTTGGGAGCGGGGCATGCATGAGCATGTGGGGGTGTCGGGGGCAGGATACGTGTGCACACCCCTGCCCACTCTCCACTTTTAGCCTACACACATTGGTGTGAACGCCCAATGAGGCTAAGGCAGCCCTTATCCATGGATGCTCTCCAGATCTTCCTGGGCTACAATTCCCATTGTCCTTGGTCACAGGCCATGCTGGCTGAGGCTGATGGGAGTTGTAGTCCAAGACTACTGGATGAGGAAGGCTAGGCTTTTCAGGAATACAGTCACAAAGCAGGAAGTCCACTGAGCCTCTCCCTTCCACCCGCTGGCTCTCAGCAGGGGCTACACTGCGGTGAGGCCCTGCGACACACCTGGCCATTTCCTTGAATGTGAGATTCTTCCATGATCACACAGATCTGGTGCAGACACATCACTGCTGATCTCTTAACCTTAGATAAGAGAGCTGGAGGAGGGTAAAAGCTGGCATGCTTCTTTCCACCTCTTCATCCCTTCTTTAGGCCAATTGCTCTCCCTCCTTTCCCTTGTCACCATGCTCCTGGTTCCACATCAGGGTTCTCTCCCTTTCTCATTTTCCCAGTCTTAAACTCAGTTCTCTACATTCCTGCAATTTGCATTGTTTTTCAGGGGCGTGGGAAAATCCTCATAAAAATTCACTAGCATCTTGGCGCAGACTTGTGTGTGCTGTTTGGCTAACAAACACTTTTTTTGCAAGCCATTTCCCCTTAAATAATGTTGATTCGTCAGGATGCTATCAACATTATTTAAGGGGAAAGCCGGTGGAAATTAAATCCGATAGGAAAGGTGAGAAAGGAAGAGAGTTTGCCAGAGGGTGTCCTGCTCATAGGCTGCACTCCTGTTACACGTGAACTTGGGATTTACCTCCAAGTCAGCATGCATAGGGTTTGAGGACAATGCAAATTTAAGACGTGTCGGCTCAGAAGAAAGACCCATGAAATTCCATGGGGCTTATTCCAGGGAAGACTGTATTGGACTGAAGCCACAGATCTCTTAACTGTGTTTAAAAGACCAAGAGCGTTATTCTGCATCAGGCCAGTCATCCAGCAGCCTGCTCCTCTCCAAACCACAATAAGCAAAAAAAACACCCATTTGTCCAAATGCAAGGTGCATTCTAAAAGACAATTCCTTGGCCAGGGGTACCTTCCCTCATTCATTTTTCTCTGACTGCACTCCGTACAGATGGCTGTTTTCCCCTAATACTTTGGCCATGACTGCATACAGGATGTCTGATCTTAATATAAGATGCCAAGACATCATCAGCTTGGAAGTGTCCATCCTTTTGAAGACAATTATTATTAATAATAATATTACAGGCATACAAACAGAGGAAGAAGAGTACATTCTTGAGGGAAGCCCATAGATTCTGACATTATTTTTAAGAATGTTCAACACACATACCTGATATGACTGTCACTACAAGGCTCATCTGTACATCTATGGTTCTTCGGCGTGATCCAAAGGTCCCTAGGGCTCTGTGGCACAAGCCAGACGCCCTAGTCTTTTCTCCCTTGGGAATGCTCCCCAAGCATAATGGGGAATGCTCATCACATGCGCAGAGGACTCACCATTGCACAGAAGACAGTGGGCCAGCACCTGCATGCACAGAGCAAAACGCAAACCTGACAGCTCACAGATACGCACCAGAACTGCTGGGCCATTCCACTTGTGCTTAAAGACCAAGGATAGCCATGGTTTGGTCCCTCCAGGCATCGCTGGACTACAACTCCCATCATCCTTGACCATTGGCTCTGCTGGCTGGGGCTGATGGGCACCGTAGTCCAACAACATCTGGAGGGCACGACTACACTGGCTACCCCTGCATAGCCGGACACAAAATATTTTCAAAACATTATTTTTTAAAAAACAAAAAAACCAGGTATCAGTCATTTGTTAGGCAAGTGAAGCCAGCATGATGCTCTCCAGGTGTGTCTGGACTGCAAATCCCACCAGGCCCATCCAAGCATGGTGAATGGTCAGTGAACACCTGAAGATCACCACATTGGCTACCCTTATGGTAGGCAAACAATTGCTTCAACAGTTAGCTGCATCCTTAACAGAATAATTGTAAGACTTCAGAGCTCTTAAGAAAACCCTTGCATATCATGATACTTTCTTTTGTCACACACATGCACATACGGGGAGTAAGGCGGAGGAGGTGGGGTCAGAAAGGGCCCAGTGAATGTTCTGCTACCAGAAAAGCTGGGAACACAGTACAAATCCATTATAAAATCAAAATACTGTCAGCTTTGCATATCTATTGTCAAGATTCTTGAGGTAATATTGATATTCCGAAGAGAGGAAAAACCCACTCGCATAACTTTTCCGGACTGCTGCTCTTGTTTTTATTGCTGAATGTCACATTTAAACACCAGACCGGAGAGACAAATAGCCTGCTGGCCTCTTCCTCTTCCATTGAGCTCCACTGAAATGGGGAGGGGGTTGCTCAGATCCCGTTAATTCCAATGGAAGTCGTGCAACAAAAGTTCCCGCTGGACTATGGCTTCCTTTGACTCGCAAGCAACCGACCACACCCCAGCCCTTTCCAACGCCGCGGGGGGGATATACTTTCATTGTCGCCGGTTTCTAAAACCCTACAGACACCACACAACGCTCCGAGCTCCAATGCAAAACAGCCACGACGGAAACAATTATTTCAATCCAGACCGGGGGGGGGGGGGGACCAAAGCCACACAACCACATCACCTCTCCCCTTTTCAGCTTGATGGAGAGTAACAACATTATTGTAGACAAAAAAAACAGTTTCCCCCGTTCCCCCTTTTCCTTGATTCCCACTTCACGAATTGAAAAATAAAACATAAAAATAAAAAAACCCACCACTGTCACTACTAGGACCCCTAATTCCTAGGATCTTAAATAAAATCCTCATGTTCATAATAAATAGTCGCAGCTCCCTCTTTCCACCCCTTTGTCCACAGATCGCAGGGTAAAATTCAGGAAGAAGCACCCTGGAAGCTGTCTCGTTTGGCTTCTGGCTTTGTCAGATGCGGAGCTGGTAGCCGACATCGTTCAGTGTTGAGAGCTCGCTCACTTTCTTATCCAGCGCAGCGGGCCTAGAATCAAGAAGGGGAGAGGAGATGTTCAAAAGCAAATGATTAGATTTCCCTAGGATGAGATCACTGCCAACAGCGTTTCAGAGTTGTATCTGAAAGTCATATCCACACCAAACATTTAAAAAACCACTCTTATTCCGCTTTAACAACCGTGAATTTTTTTTCCAAGGAAGATGTGACCTCTCAGCCCTACAATTCTCAGCACCCATCCCATAACGAACTACAGTTCCCAGGATTCTCCATGACTCCTAAAGTGGTACATGAGTACTTTAAATGTATGGTTGGTGGTGTTTTCAGGTGGTGAGTAATGCACCGCCATTCCTAAACACCAAGCGTCACCAAGTCGTTTATTAATGTGAGAGTGCTCCTGTGGTCTTCCAGTCTATACCACCAGCAGGAGGCTATTGTGTCCATCTAAATCTGGGGTAGCCAATGTGGTGGCTCTCCAGCTGATTTTGTTGTTGGACTACAACTCCCATCATCCCTGACCAATCTTCACAGGATGCTCTGATTCACTACACATCTGTGACCTTTCCACCAAACAGCATCTCCCAGTGAGAATGGATTATAAGGGCAGCTTTGGGTATTAATAAGGACACAAGGAGTCTTCTGTATCAACCCAATGGCTCACCTTGGGTATGTTTAGCTTGGATAAAAGGAGATATGATAGCCATCTTCAAATGGCTATTATTTTTAAGCAGAGGTTGGGTGGCCATCTGTCATGGATGCTGTGGCTGAGATTCCTGCATTGCAGGGGGTTGGTCTAAATGACTCTTGGGTCCCTTCCAGCTCTACAATTATATGATCTAGTCCAGCATCCTGTTCTCACAGTGGCCTAACAAGATGCCTATGGGGAAACTGCAAGCAGGATTTGAGCACAAAGCCCTAGACCAAATGGCACCCCATATGACGTTTTAAATGCCTTACTTCTACAGTGGTACCTCGGGTTACATACGCTTCAGGTTACTTACGCTTCTGGTTACAGACTCCACTAACCCAGAAATAGTACCAGCAGGAGGAGGCCCCATTAGCTGAAGTGGTGCTTCAGGTTAAGAACAGTTTCAGGTTAAGAATGGACCCTCTGGAACGAATTAAGTACTTAACCTGAGGTACCACTTCCACAACATTGATGCCTGAGTTGCATATGTGATTTATCCTTCTCATATGAGATTATAAATAGGTATACATAGTCATAACAATCACTCACATGCACATAACTTGTCAGATAGGCACTGATGTTGTAAATCAGGAGAGGGGAAGCTGTGGCCCTACAGATGATGCTGGTTTATGATTCCAGTCATCTCTGACCATCGGCCATGCTGGCTGAGGCCAATGGAAGCTAGAGGCCAACAGAGGGCCAAGGTTCTCCCACCCTGTTTGCAAATTTTTCCATCAGGAAGAACACAGGGTCATCATTCCTAGACATGCAATAGCTTCCAGTCAAATTGCAGCAAAGAAGGTTGGGGGGGGGGAAACATATTTTCCACCTTACATAACAAACCCAATCTAAGCAGAAGCTCACTTTGCTGTCGCACTCCCAAAGCATGCATTTCCAAAACTTCACTTGGAATCAAATGTGAAGATAATCGATTCTGCTAAGTGACATTCTCCAAGCAGCTGCAGCTGGAGGCTGCTGTTACTTCCAGTTCTCAAGATTAATAACAGAAGAACGTTGCCTGGTTTTATAACCATGAAGCCGAGGAGTTAAATCAGAACACACAGACTGAAAACGGAACGGAATCCAATGACTCCCAGTTCACGAGAGGTCTCTATCCCCACTTTCAGCCGTTCCTGACAGGTACACAGGTACCAAGCCTCAAGCAATCGAAGTTGCTATACTAAATTGTCTCATTCCATGTTGGACAAAGTGGCAGCAACCTTTTATTTCTACGGCCAGAATACCAGTTGGTGGGCAGAGTGCTGCTGCGCTCATGTCCTTGCATGGGCAACTGCTTGGCCACTGTGAAAACAGGATGTTGGGGCCTGATCCAGCAAGCTCCTCTTGTGCTTGGTATATAAGCACCATCAAGCATTAAGAGCTTGCAAACCCAACTTTCAGTATGTACAGGTGTCTCCTCTCCCACTTATGTGCTATCAACTTGCGCATGACCACATATACTTGCGGCACCAGGAAATAAATAAATAGATCAATTCAAACCAGGAAATGGTGGGAGAGAGATGGAGAGTCTTCATGGCTCACAAGGAGACTCTCCCCAGAGCCCAAAGAGGGCAGAGGAAGCCCCAAGGAGACTGGAGGCACAGCAGGGCTCTGTTTAGTCTGCTTAGCCTCCCTGTCTAACAGCTGGTGCACACGGTAACCTAGCAGCTGCAGGCGCTTTTTCATGCAGCCTCCTGCTCTTTAGTGCTAAACAGGAGCAAACATCAATCCAGATAAAACCCAAATGGCTGTTTGCTCTGACTGAGCGCTAAAGAACAGTTTTCCGCAGTGGAAAGTAGCGGGGCAGGATGAAATATAGAGGAGCCCGGAGTTTAGCATCAGAGGTGTTTAACTCCAGTCTTTACAACTTGGAATTCAATATCAACGTTAGTAAAGACCAGGAAGCTGCTGCAGAGCAGAGATACTCTGAGTAAATTATAAAGTATTGGCTGGAATTGCAAGATGTGCGGGTCCAGGATCCTAAGATCTAGTTATTAATTGGGCAACCCCAAGTCCCTCCTTGCATGGGGAGGCAGGGAAGAGGTTGTGGGCTCACAAGGTCTTGGCAACAACTACCAGATAAGGCCAGAAGGTGTAGCTGGTTTCCTACAGGGCTGTCTGGCAGCCAGGGGCAAGGAAGGGGCATTAAAGGCCTCCTGATCCCCATTTGCTACAGGGGAGTTCACAAAAGTTTCTGATAAGAGGCTTACCGAGTTTTGTACAGTACTTGGGTTTTCAAAAAATGGTGAAGTGAATGTTGGCCCCGAAAGAGGCTTACGTAATCTAATTGTTGACAAAAGCATTGACTAATCACAGCTCTCCATTAAGAAGGTGAAGCTTCCCCGTGGGGGAATTCCAAGTCTTTTATTCAGCCCTTGCCAATGAAATTATGCAGCCCAGGGGAAGGCGGGTAAAGTGCTGACTGAGGGCCTGTTTCCTACCTTGTCACTTGATCAGATTTAATTAGCGTGCCCAAGTAAGAAAAAAATCATAAATAACGAGGCAAAGCAACTTTGGTAGACATTCATTATTTTAGGGAACCAGGAGTTGAAACAGCATCCTCCTAATTAATTTTGCTAGAGTAATCCCATTACATTTAAAGGATTTTCCCTCTGGGTTAAGGGGCCTGAAGGAGGCAGCTTGAAAATGATTACCATCCAATTAGGAATTTGAAGCCACTCTGACGTATCAGGTATCCGGAAATTAAAAACTAGCCCCATTATGAGATTTGGCTTATAACATTATTTGTTATAGTATTTGGCTTATAACGTAAGAAGAGCCTGCTGCAATGGCCCATCTATCTAGCCCAACATCCTATTCTCACAGTGGTCAACTAGATGCCCACAGGAAACGGGCAAGTAGGACCCAGGCACAAGAACATTCTCCCTCCTCATTTCAAAGGGGAAGGAGAACAGAAAGAGAGAGGATGAGTAAGAGAGGCGTGAGATGAAAGTGAGCAAAACCAAACGTAGTTGGGTCTACTTTCACTTCCTTTTGCTCGGGGTGTAGACGGAAAATTACAGGCTGCGTTCAGAAGTTTATCATTCGAGTGGCAAGTCCAGTGTACTCAGTACCTTTTTAAACACTTGTACATCTTTCATGCTCAAATGAAATTAGGGGAGAACTATTTTTTGTAGCTTTCAAAGAAGCCGGATTTGCACAGAGCCGATTGGTGGACCTTTGTGTAAATCACAACACTACTGAACTGCTGCCTTCAGAGTCCCCTTATGAGTCTCCCAGAGGAATTTTGCTGGCCGCCATCAGAAAGAGAATTCTGGGTGAAATGGACCTTTTGACCATCCCAGCAAAGCAATCCTCATGATCAAGGGTGGGGAACCCTACAGATGTTGGACTCCAGTTCCCACCACCCCTCCCTATTGGCCCAACTGGCTATTGTGACAGATGGGAGCTGAAGTCCCCAACAACATTTTACGAAGCCACAGGTTCCCCATCCTTGCTCATGATCCTCAAGCTCATCCTACTCCAAAACTGTGTTAAAACTTTAAATACGCCATAGGATCCTATCATGTTTACCTCTAAGAACTAGAAAGTCTTCACCATCTAGGGCAGTGTTTCCCAGACTTGGGTCTCCAGCTGTTCATGGACTACAATTCCCATTATCCCTGACCACTGGTCCTGCTAGCTAGGAATGATGGGAGTTGTAGTTCAAAAAACACCTGGAGGCCCAAGTTCGGGAAACACTGCTCTAGCTGTTTTGGACTACAACTACCATCAGCCCCAACCAGTATGCCCAATGGACAGGAATGATGGGAACTGTAGTCCAGGAACATTTAGAGAGCTGCTGTTGGGAGTTGCACCCCAGGTTCACAAAGGCTGAACTAAGTCACACACTATTCTGGAGTTCTGACCCTGCTGCTGACCAGCCTACCTGTGGGCCAGAAGTGCTGCAACCCATGAGTGTGCCAAGGGATGGATTTCAATTTCCCTTGCCCCTGTCCTGGGAGAAATTTAAAAGCAGGAAAGGAGCTAGCAACAGTGCACCTGGCGTTTGGCTCAGCAGTTGGCGCTCCAGAGAGGCCTGCTGAGCTGACACATCTTAGTCAAACACACACCTCCCCCTTGAACACTTGTGCCACCCTAGCAACTGTGGAAACAGCCACAGAAACAGGGAGATTAAAATACTCCCCTAAAGTAGGCGCGATGAGGCAGGAAGAAGGAGCTCGCACAGAGATTTGCAACCTCTGACAACTATAATTATCCAGACACTAAATGAGGCCAGGCACTCCTACCGAGAGGCCCCCAAGAATGCTGGTGGTGCAGCAATAGTATGAATTCGTGGGGAAAATAGAAGCGTGTGGTTAATTCAACAGCTGCGAGGAACATTGGGGTATATTTAGAGAGACAGTCTAGTGACACTTTTCGCTGTTAAGAAACTGCAAAGAGACCCCTCCACAGACTTACTTAAAATGCAACTATCATACGCATTATGGACCTAACGGACACATTCGGATGTCATTCTAAACCATCATTTAACGAAAGGGCCAGAACAAACCTCAGTGAGTCCCAGGCTTATACAGTTTCCCTTTCCCTTTTGTCTCCTCCTCCTCCAACATGGATATTTGCCTTGTGTTCACTTTGCTACAGCTTTGAAACAAACCAACTTGCAAGGAAAACCTCACCAGACTAGGAGTGGGGCAGAGGGGAGTGGGCAAGGCCGAGGCTTACTGTGGCTCAATCGCATCTGCAACCTGGCACCCTTCAGGTGTCCCCTGAAATATGACCAGCCCCAGCATTGCTAACATTTCAGTGTAGGTCGAAATATGTCTGTTTCTCCAGGCATTTGGGGATGTTACTCCACTGCTGCTTTGGGTGTGCTGGAAATTCTACTTGCCATTTAATTTATCTAAGTGTAGATTGCTGTTTGGTTTAAGGGATGTTGTAGCCTGCCCTGGGATCAGCTGGTTAAAAATATCCTTAATACATAATACAAGAGTTTCGCTCTTGCAAAGCCCCTGAACCCTGAGATTGTCCATGTATTGTAAACTTAAGAGACACATTTTAACTTGTACACAGCATTTTAAAAATGTCTGGATCGCCAAAGCACCACAAAGTGCTTCAGGGTTGCCTGCTTCAACTTGCGCAGCCTTGAACAGAACCCGCTTTGGCACACCCCAAATCCCTCAAAGGCACCCTGCCTCCGTTCAAGATTCATTTCAATCCAGTGCCTTAGACCTGCCTGAAACATATGGTGTAAAATGTAAGAAGGGAGCCTTTAAGCACATACAGAATGTCTTCTTCTCACCTCTGCAAAGACCCTATCAAACCCCAAGGATCTGGGTAGGGTTTGAAGGGGACCTGAGCAAAACGTCATCTGATGCAGGGGCGAAACTAGGCTTTATTTCACCCAGGTCAAAGACCCGGTTTGGCACACGCACACTGCGTGCATTTGCACAAACACACAGGTTGGGAGCCTCAGTGGTGCCCCTCTGGAGCCTTCACCCGTCAAATAAAACCGGCTAGCCCTCCCCTCCCCCTCCCTCCGCGTAGCTATGGCATTGCTCCTTTAACAGCGGGCATACCTGGCTGTGGTGGCAATGCTCTAACCTGTATTAGCCAGCTGGGTCTAGTCACCCTTTCAGTTTACTAGAACAATGCTAGGTTAGGTGCATTGTGGGAAATTGGAACATGGCTATATCTGGCAGCCTGGCGCTGGGCCTGAAAAATAATTCAAGGGGGCTCAGGACTGGCATCAGCCATAGGCCCTGGCAGCTAGCCAAGGATGTCAGGTGCTGACTCCAGTTCTCCAGAGAAAGCAGCGATAAGGGTTTTTAAGTCAGAGGGTACAACTTCAAGACAAGCTGCCTGGCATTTTTCGTCTTAGAAATTAAGGCTATATCTGATTTCCTCTTTCTTCCTAACACCTGAACGTTCTCACTCTGAAAACCTGTGATGTCACGTGATACCTGAAGACTCCAGTCCGCTGGATAGGATTCAGTTTCTGCCTAAAAAGATCAAGAAAGCAGAATCTGCTGTGGGATGCATATTTTTGCTTTAAATCCACTACATGTGCTACATTCAGCATAGTCCCAGGCATGTATACTTAGAAGTAAGGCCCATTCTTTTTTGTAGGCCTTACGCCCAAGTGATTATGCACAGGGCTGAAATTTCAATCTTAATCTCTTCTCCTCTCTCTCTATGACAATTAAATTAGGTTAGGTTTGAAGTGTAACTAAACTCAAGCAGTTTCAACTTCAGGCACCATTTTAAGAAAAGCATTAAGTTGCAACCAAGTTTGGTGTTCAGTCAAGTTTGGTTTTCAGAAGATCTATCTGCTGTGGAACACTGCAGTGTGGGGAGCTTTCTGTTGTTGCTATTATTAAACAACTCAGAACAGCAACAAAATGGTGCTGTGGAATGCAGCCATTCATTGTTTCAACCATCCAGGAACTCCATTCCATTCGCCCTCTCACACATCCCCAATTTTCCACCCACAACAGACGCTTCTCATTCTGTGGCCACTGAGCATGTCGAGTCCTCACTGGGCTGTTTTGGGAAAGGCACTTGCCTCCTAGGTTTTTCATATATATGACTCCAGCAAACCTTGAAGTGCACCCAAGCAGGCTGATGCCTCCTAATTTGTCAGCAACCATGCTTTAGCTACATAGTCAGCAGGCAGGCTATGAGGCCACCACCTTGCTGAAGCTAAACATATCCAGGCCTGGTCAGAACCCGCCTTGGGTTCAATGATGCAAGCAAGGTGGGGCAGAAATGAGGGACAATAAATACCTCAGTATCTGAGCTCATGGCTAGTATATGACTGGGACTCAGAAACTCTTCCTGATCTACAGCTAATTCCCTAGAGATCCATCAGCAGAACCAAGTCTAACTTCTGCCCACCTCACCCCTAAAATAGTCTTCCCTGCTCCTCTGGATTTGCATGTTGTAGAGGAGAGGTTTGGTCTGAAGGTATAGGATAAAGCAAACTTGCTGAAGTTCAGCCATTCAGTGCTAGGATGGGAAACCACCTGAGTTTTTCAACATAAATTCCATTATGGAAGGAAGGCAAGCAATGCACTTTAAATCTTAAATAATAGGCAAGCCGTCTTCCAGCAAAGATTTTTCTACCACTACTTCTGTTTGAGGACACCTGAGAAGTTTCCAAGGAAGCTCAGGGTTTCCCAGGTCAGAATATAGCCTGAAAAGCATTGGAGGTCATATTCACCACAAATATCTGACCCAGTCAGCAGTGCAAAACTCAACATGACTACACTCACGATTTGTCTCTTCGGCAGGCCCGCCTCTGAGGGCTGGTTTGTCTTCTTCGGGGGGAGAGGGACTTCCCCCGTGTTCTCTGCTTGACTGGAGAATGGGCACTTGCGGGCTTCAAAATCTGAAAGAGGGAAATGGGTGGGTTAAGAAAAGTTTCCCCTGGCAAGTCGTTCATTGTTGGATAGGAGAGAAAGTGCACCTTTCATTTATGAAACTGCATTGTGGTTTAACACAGCTGAAGGTTTTCTTCTCCATTCTGTTATAGATTACTCTGACAAAGACAATGGGGTATTTTGGGGTTCTTTGAATGTATCTGCTGCTGGCTTGTGATTCAGCCTTCTATGGACTCTGCTTATTTGCTTTAGTTGTGCTCTTTTTGGTGGATCCCCTTAATATAAAGACTTAAAGGAGAGCTATCATTCAGCATTTATACACCATAAAATATGGTTTATTTTAGGGGTCTGTTGAAGACTTTCCTGTTTCAAGAAGCCTTCTAAGTGCAGATTGTTGTTCCAGTCAGTATCTGTATTAGATATGAAATTGGTTTTATATACTTTATTGTCGTCAGTGTTTTTTTAAATTGTTTTATATGTAATTGCCTCTCTCTTGCTCCCTTGCACACACGCACACACATCATCTCCAGGCATCACACAAAATGGGCACATACCTTCATTCTCATATCTCTGGCATATTTCTCCAGCTCTTTCCTTATCTCTGACCTCACCATCTTTGACACGTTGAGCACCAACTGCCTCCATTCGATGGGCTGAAAGCTGTGTGGTTCATGGGGGACATACAATCCAATTTTTACTTTTTTCACAGAGTGTAAATACTTTTTGTAGGACTCTTCAAATTCAAAGATGAGGTCACTCAGAGTTCGGAAAATCAAAGGCTTGTCCATCAGCTCCGATCTTCTGCTCATGCCCAGAGATCCATATCGACCATTGAAATAAATTCCAAGCACCACATGATGAAAATTGTTCCCTGAGAAGTGGGATTTAAAACTGATTGGGAATCGTTCCACTGAAGGCTGCCCATTGGTTAAGTATCTGGCAAGGCTAGCGTCAAGGCAACAAAGACCCTCTGTTGAGAGAAATGTTTTCAATGCAGAATGTGATACACATATAACATTTGCCTATATTGTACTGTGTTCAGACATCATGATCAACTATGGTTTGTTGCAGTAGGAACAAACCTAGGTGAGCCTTGAGCTCATACACTCTCCTTCCTACTGTAACCAAGAGATCAGAAGCCATTTCAGCTAACCACAGTTTAGCATTACATCCAAACGATGGTTCACCTCTCAACTGTGTTTTGTTGAAACAAACCATCTTCATAACCCACGGCTTGTAGCTGGCTTGTGTCAGATGGCATTACAAACTGTAGTTAGAATAAAACCAGAAGTGAATGCTTTCAAACTCTTCTGTGTTGCTGTGATGGTGGGGAGGAGAAGAAAGGAAAGGAAAGGAGTGTATAATACCAGTGCTTTCCTAGGGTTGTTCCTATTATGATAAGCCATGTTTTATTGTGATATCTGAATGCAACCATTGGTCATTCTAGCCCTGTATTATCTATTCCAATTAGCAAGGCCTCTGCCACCAAGACACAAGGGTTTTCCAAGCACTACTATCGAGGATCCTTTTAAGTGGGTATGTCAGAGATTGAACTTGTAATCTTCTACAATACATGAAATGTGTGTGTAATGGAGCCAATTACGGTACCTTCTACAGGGCAACCAATTTAGGCAGTTTCGCAGCAAATCTTAACCACCATTAAAGAGATGGTATCACTCAATTTATAACTATATGAGGGGTCAGTACTTGGGTTTTATACCTCAGTTGCCAAAACGCTTGAGTCAGCCCTAGCCTTCTGCTGAAAGGACTCAAGATCACAGCGTACGTAAAGTGAAAAAAGGAAGGAAGTTTATAAAGATGGTGTTTGTTCTATAAAGTACAAAATGTTCAGAGGGGTCTCAAGAGCAACAATCACTCCATCAGTTCTGAGAGATGTATATTCTCCAACCTAATTGGAAACACTTCGGAGCAGTTGGTTAATGGAGTGTGGAAAGCAGTTTCAAGAAAGGGATTGTCCCTCACAGGTAGTTCTTTCACCTCTGCTTAAACAGGTTTTATAAAAGTATGAAACAGTATAAATGAAACCTGCAAAAACAGTTTAACAGACGCTGTGGGACAAAAGATTATTTTTAAAAATTATTATTATTTTCTATGTATTTCCTGCCCGAAAGGTCCCGTGGTGCATTACAACCATTTAAAGTAGAATATCACAACAGTCTAAAACAAGACACAGACACAAGCATAGTGTGGGTCCTTTATGTGTATAGTGTGGCTCCATTGTCCTTGCCAAACTACTTTTAAGCCTCAGCTGCACATGGCATAGGTTTAAAGCACATTCCTCCACCACCCAAAGAATTCTGGGAACTGTAGTTTGTCAAGGATGCTGGGACCTGTGAGGGGTGAACTACAGTTCCCAGGATTCTGTGGGGCATGTGTGCTTTAAATGCATGGTCTGTATGCAACCTCTGTAAACTACTATCTGCCTTTAATCTCAAAGGGGTTTGCAAAGGAACTGTTCCTTTTTGAAAGCAGCTTCTATGAGTGCCAAATTCTGATCTGAAGCTCTATTCATCTTTTTAGAATTCGAAGTTAACAAGATGACTGGGCTGCAGTCTTAAATGGATTTTGTAGAGAGCAAGTCCCAGGGAACCCAGAGCCTTTTAACATCCATGTATATTTGCTCAGGAAGGATTGTACTGTTAAAACACTCTGCACAACCTCTTTTCACCCACACAATATTTCCCCAAGTAATTATCCCAGCTAAGGGTCTGGATAATTATGACACTCAGGGTACAACCTAAGGATACAAAAAAGTGAACTCAGGAGCTAAAGCATTTCCATCACTCCCAACATTGCAAAACGCCTTTGCAAAATGAAAAACAACAACAATAGGCTTTGTGTAACTGAAATGGCATGGAACTCAGCTGAGAGAAGCCTGCCCTCCATTGCATTCTCACATAAACATGAACTCCCGAGGTACCAGGAAAGTGCTTAAAAATGGAAGGACTTTTCAGCAGACTTTTTTATCCAGATCAATATGTGTCATGTGCACACTATTTTTTATGCGTCACTGCTAGCACAATATCATTTTAGGATACATCAGTACCAATTTATAGGCATCCGCAAAATTTGCAGTCATGGTTTTCCAACATCGCTCCTACTGATCCTTTAAGCAAAGGCTACATTGAATGCAGGATATGCCATAGCTCGACAAACACTCCCTTCCGCCTTCTGTCACTCAAGGTTATTGATAGACCTACAAGGCTTGATCCGACATCGAATCAGAAGCAAAAACACACCCGCTTCCAGGCAGGAGTTTGTTGTGGAATTGATACAGCTCATGCTTGGAGGCTGCTCCCATCATCCACATAACATCATCCACATCAAAACGCTAACCTGTCCTTTTTCCTCAGAGGTTCCCCATTGCACAGAAAGTCCGCAAAGTAAAAAGGAGTTATGCAACCCTAGTCACCACTGATGTGGAAGCTCTTTAGCACATTTTTTTGGGTGAGCACCATATGTGTGTGTTGATGTTTCAGTGGGTTCTATCGCCACACCTCTCAGTTCAGAATAACTGTTCTCTCAGGATCTCCACACATGTGGTGGATTACCTCAGGTGTCATAAGAAAGCTGCAGAGATAGTGCAGGATAGTACGCACCCCAGAAATGATCTCTTTCAGCTTCTGCCTTCTGGAAGAAGGTACAGGGTTATAAAGACTAGGACTAGAAACAGTTTTTATCCAAATGCGATTTTGGTTTTAAACGCAGTGTAAGGTAGTCTCTGTGGGAGTATATTGTATTTAATTATGGGGTATCAGATTTTTTAGGGGGTTAACCAGGCTGGGATAGCAGGCTTGTTGGTTTTTGAATGTCTGATGTAGATTTTTTCAATTTCATTGTTCTGTATGGGGCAATGACAATAAAGATTATCGTATCATATCGTATCCACCAAGATGGGTGTACATATATACACACATACACAGACATTTGGAGGTGTTGCACAAAACCTCTATATCAGAATTCCAGAATTTCATTGCTATTGTGTATGTTTTGGATTGGGGGTGGGAGAGAAGCATGACTGTGCTCCTAATAGCTATGGGGGCCTATAGAGTTTTCCTAGTTTGAGGGAGGTATAGAGCCAGTCTCCACCAAAGCAAGCAGCAGATCAAGATAGTGAAATTATATCACTCTCTGGTGTAGGACCAAAATATTCATTTTTTTAAAAAATCACCAAATGGATATGGGGGGAGGAGAGCCCAAGCCTCCATTTTGTCTGCTGTGAAACATGATAACTAATGGCTGGTAACACCTGCACTTGTGCTCTTGCACACCTCTGGGGTACAGAAATATCTGCGCACATGCCTAGAACAAAAAAAGGGGGTAGCAGAGGGCAAGGGAGGAGTGATTATGGGAAAAGATAAAGCTACACAGCACAGGAACAGGCCACCATGCTCTGGTCACTTGGTGTGGAAAGCAAATGACTGAACAGCAACACATACCCAAACAGAATATGCTTGGTGTTGTTTCAGGTCAATCTTTTATGTTGGGGGGAATTAAGAGGCTTTGAATCCTGCAGATCCATGAGCAATCTGACACCTTTAAAACACACACACACACACACACACACACACACACACACACACTATTGGGAGGACACAACAGATGGGACATTATGCTGGGAGCAATACTTTTTTTCTTAAAAAAATGTTGAGGGGTACTCTCATTTTCCTACTCAGATTGAAATACTGCCCCTCAATGAGGCCAAACTTATATTCACAAAATGTTTAGGGGTTTGCGTACCCCTGCATTCCCCCCCCAGAAAAACAGCAATGGCTGGGAGAGTTCTAGCAATATTAGTTTTGTCCCATGAAAAGACCTCGCTCTCCACTTGTGGAGCAGCCTCCTAAGGCCTCTCATACAGCTCTCAACTAGTTTTACAATCTTAAAATCAAAATGCCTTCTTGCTAATTAGAACTTTAAGTGCTTTGGGGTCACCAGAAGACAAGTAAATGCAGACTTCATCTCAGGTAAATTATAAAGCCAGTTGCATTTCTTCTTCGATGTAACCAACTTCTAGGTCTGCCCTTTCTTTTGCTAGCATCTGTCAAGTCTTTCAGGCACTGATCTGATCCGTCACAATTGTTCCTTGCATCTCAGAAGAATTTAACTCCATTCGCCTCCAAGCAGATCTTTGTTAAGTCTGAACAGCTGCCCCCTGTCGCCACCTGCCCTTGTGTCAGAGCCATAAAGCCTTCAGGTCCCCAAATCCTTGCTATTTAATCCCATTAAATTCTAACTAGGAGGAGGAGAATCACCTTTGACTTTGCACTCTTGTGTACCACAGAAACAATAGCCAGAGAAGGGGACCTTCAGGCATTTGTTACCTTGTGCAAGTCAATGGCTGGGGTCAACCTCTTCTTTTGAAATGAAAAGACTCATGGTGAATACAGTACAACCAGACACAGAACAAGCCTACTCCTGAGCCTACTCTAAAACAGCAACGGCAGTGTCTGCACGATGTACGCAAACAGAAATAAAGTTAACCCTCCACCCATATGGGGCTTGTCTCAGACACGTACAAAATTTTCAGCTGGTCATAAGTGCAATTCTGTGGCTTTTGCTGAGCAGAAGGCATGCAACATCCATTCTTGTTCACTGTTCATGATTGACAGGTTGCTCCTGATACAAACCACTCAGGGATGGCGCCAAGGGGTCAGCATAGTTAGGCATCTGCTGAGGACCCATATCCCCCAGATGGGCCCCACTGACAAGAGCCCCTTGCACTTGCTGTAGCAAGGGAGTAGATTCAGTGAAGAACAGGATGGAGTCCCATGTGACCGTCTTGCCCAAGAATTTGCAGCTGACACCGAAAGCACTGATAATAACCTGAATAATTTGGACATGTTTTGAGACTGATGCTGTGCGCATCGGGGGATGATGTTATCTGCATGAGCGTTCATGAAGGGACATTCAAGATAGGGACATTGTTCCGTGCTTCCTTCAGCCAAGACGCAAGATCAGGAAGGAGTACTGCTCGTAACTGCTCTACAAATACAGAATTCATTGCCTAAGCCACACACCCCGTGTGTTTTCCGGAAAATAGTGAAGTCTCACCTACACTGCCAGCCTTTTTATTGGCTTACTTTTGGCTCAGTAAATATATTTGCCTGAAATGACTGCATTGGTTGATACTGATTGAACTTCTGGTTGCTTCTTTTCAAAAGTTTGATTTTGAATTAAACTTTAATTTTATTGACATTTTATCTTGCTTTAGAATGAAAATTGTCTTGCATGTTTGTTTAAAAGGGAAGAGGGAAGGATGCTGTATGTGTGTGTGTGTGTGTGTGTGTGTGTGTGTGTGTGTAATGCAGAGGATTGGATCTAGACGTAGCACCCTATGGGGGTGGGAATTGGTTGGATTCCCATTCCCCCTGCAGCTCCCAACACCGCTTTCCACGTTTCCAGGGTTTGGGAAGCCCTCCACAACTGAACAGAGCAGCATTCCCAATCTGGTGCTCTCCAGGTTTTTGGAACTGCAACTCCCATCATCCCTGACCACAGGCCATGTGGGTAGCAGGTGCTGATGGGAGTTACAGTTCAAAACATCTGAAGGGCACCTGGTTGGGAAAAGCTGGTGTGGGCGGTGGCACTGGGGGCTACAGGGAAAAGGGGAGATATCAGCAAAAGCCACCTCTCCTCTGTTGGTGAGACCCCTCCATTGGATCAAAAGCCTTTTTTTTCTTCTGCAGAAGCCAAAGGCTGGATCCAAGTTAGTATAAAGAAATCCAAAGATACCAGCTGTTGCATGGCTGTTGTTAGATCAGGGCCAGTGCACAACATGGGGAAGACATGGCGGAAGCAATATGCCTCTGGGTACCTGTTGCTAGGATTCAGAAGTGGGGAGAGTGCTATTGGGTTCAGTTCCCACTTGTGTGTTTCCCAAAGGAAACACACCGTGAGAGTAGGGTGTTGGACTAGAGCTCTTCTTCTGTTCTTAAACAAAATTTGAGCATGTTTCTTATCTCAGGAGGGCTGTAATTCGGGGAGGATTTTTGCAGGCCAAACAAGCAGATGAGGAGAGGAAGCTGTCTGAAAATCTCCAGCCAGGCAACCCATATAATCTCCCCTGCTCTGTTTACTGAGAGTCCCATATAATCTCTCCTGCTCTGTTTACTGAGAGTCTGATATCCTGAGGGGGTGGGGAGGGAGTTTCTGATAAGGACTCATCAGCTGTGCCTTCAACCAATCTTGCAGTGAATTGAGTGCTTCAACTCATCGCCTCACAAAACTTCAAGAGGCTTCTAAGCAGGAAGAGAGTGCTCCAAAACCTAATTTGACACACAAAGAGATTACAGAAGTGATCTTTTTTATATAAAAAAAAGAAGGAAAATCACTTGTAAAAGCTGACAGTGCAAGCTGTCAAGAGACCTGATTAAAATGACAACTCAGTAATCTGCTTGGCGCTGGGAAGCTCCCGTGTTTTTTTAAAGCACTGCTGCTTTGGCGTGATCCTGCCCCGAACGCAAGCAGCAGCGAGGCCTGTCAGCGTAATGAGGTTATTACTGCCAGTATCTTATTTCCACAGGAGGAGAGGGACTCAGGAAGCTCAGTCATGATCTTGACATTCAGAAAGGAGGGGAGTGCTAATTTCTTGCTGACTAAGGGCCCCTCCAGACTGCTGCGTTTTGGTGGATATATCCTTCAACAAGTTATGGGTGCAATAATAGTATATTGACCTTGACAAGGAGCTAATAGCACTGCCGGCTGACTGGGGAGGTGCCCTCTCAGGGATGCTGTGACACCAAGCCAGGGTGGAGACATGTGATTTTTGTGAGGGCCCCACCCCGGAGACTTTACCCTTGGTGGAGGCCAACCTATCTAACTCCTAGGTATGCTCCTAGCACTGAGTGGTGGATTTATATTGGACCATGCCATATTTTGGGGGAAAATATTTGTGACAAAGTGACTGATGTGGAAAGCCTGAGTTTTCCATCACAATTTCTTGCTTTATTTTAAAATGAACCCTTTGCTCCTAGGTAATCTAAGTAAACTAGGCCAATGGAGATGTTTCAAAGCATGTTGAAAAGGAGCCAAGCTTCCAACAATCCTCTGCCTCACAGATGTGTAGCCCAGATGTTGTTGGACTTCAGTTCCCATCAGCCCCATGGTTAGCTGTAACCTAGAAACATCTGGAAGGAAGCAGGTTCCCCGAACCAGCTCTGTTTTAACTCACCTTTGGCCGGTGCTGTTACACAGCATCCAAGAAGTGTAGGTTACCATTATATTATTATTATTATTATTATTATTATTATTATTATTATTATTATTTTCATCATCATCATTATTATTATTAACAACGACAACAGATCTGAGCAAAGAACTTGTAGATAAAAGGATACATTCCCAGGATAACTGCTTCAAGGCATTTGATAGGTAAAGATTCCCTGGTCATTTCTTTTGCAGATTCCATTAACCTACGAAAGCAGGGGAGGAAAAAGAAAACAAATCATTTATACAAATGCTGGACCCAGAATCACTGTGCCTGAAATCCACGGCCATGTACTATAGTCACTCAGAGAAAGCAACTGATGTTTTCACACCGGGAAGCTGCCCACAGACTTTTTATTTCAGAGGAAAACAATGGTAAGAACTGCTTGATCCGGCACTGATGACTTCATGACTAAACAAACCTAACTGAGTTGTGGAGGAGTCTTGTGGAGCGGGCAGCCTGTTTTATACTGCTTTATTAATTCCTCACCATGACTTAGTTCCACATAAGTAACTGGAGTTGTGAAACTGACCATATTGGCTTGCCAGGGGAAGGATGGCAGCTCTGTGGCACAGCATCACTTTGAGTTCAGAATGCCCCAGTTTCAGTCCCCAACATCTCCCAACAGGGCTGGGAGAGAACCCTGTCTGAAACCCTGCAAGCCAGGGGTCAAGAACCCCCTGGTCTGTGGGCCGAATGTGGCCCTCCAATCCTCTCTTTTTGGCCCTCTGAACCCTCCCAAGGCCAGCCCCCTCACTGGTGCTGCTTTGCACCCTGAGTGCTTTTGCCTGGCTGAGATGTGTCCCTGAATTCCGATGACACCTCTTGCTTGTCTGGATGAATTAGGTGGGATGGGTGGGTGTTTAGAGGCTAGCCTACTGTGCAAAGCTTTAGCCAGTAGTTATTGTGTTATGTACTGAGCTGAATCCTAGAACAATAGGAGCCAGAATGCAGCAGTCTGATTGGTCCACAGGAGCCACCCAATTCAGCTCCAGGTGGAAGTGAATCAGCAACCTGATTGGCCTGCAGGAGCCGCCAATCAGGTTTCTGGAGGAAGTGAATCCGCAACCTGATTGGCCTGCAGGAACAGCCAATCAGGTTTCTGGAGGAAGTGAATCCGTAACCTGATTGGCCTACAGGAGCAGCCCGGAATTAGCCAATCACGCGAGGCCCATTGCGTAAATAATGTATATATAGCAGACGCTTTGGGGAAAGTTTCATTCATTTATTCAGCTACTACGAGCTGAATAAAGAGCATGAAATTCACACTCGACTGGCACACTGTCTGGCAATCTTCTGGACCTTTCTCAGTGTGGCAAGTGCCTTTTCGCAGGGCGCACCCTTGTAGTCCACAAGAGCGTCGCACTTTGCAGCAATAACAAGTTCCGTGTCTTCAAACCAGTTGGGGATCTGTTGCTCTCTTTGGCCAAAGGAGGACATAGCTGTGTTGCAAGGGTTACATTTGCACTCCTTGCTCTGCCCAGGCGGCCCAGAATGTAATGTAGACCTTGGGCTGCAAAAAACATTCAGGTGTAGACAGTATCAGGCTGGCTAGACCATTTCCTATGTTTCACCCCTTTCTGGTCTAGTCAGTTTCATTCCTAATAGAGACTTTCTCCTGACCGTTTGTAGCACACCAGAACTCCTGCGGATAAACAAAGTTCAGACACAATAAAAGTTAGAACAATTCCCAAAGTGTTCCAGTTGCTGCATTAGAAGGGCTTTTCCCAGCAAGGTTCTTCGTATGCTCATATGTTAATTATAGCCCTGCAATTCTGACTTGACGTCTCTGTGGGTTGCCTGCTGAACCTTGTCTGCTTCCAGATGGGCAGTTTCCTAGCGCTCATAAACATTGCTCTTTCATTGCAAGCTGAATTGCAATTGACTTTCTCAACGTTGCACTTCTGGCGTATGTTCATCCCGCTGGATTCCATTCACACCGGTGGCTGTAGCATAGTTGCTGTAGCGCAGGAACATTCCCATTCACCTAAGTGCCACTTTCCAGGTATAAAATAGCAATTCCCTCTTTTCATAGCATCATAGAACTGTAAAGTTGGAAAGCACCCTGAGGGTCACCCCCTGCAATGCAGGAAGCTCAGCTAAACCATCCATGACAGATGACTATCCAACCTCTGTTTAAAAACCTCCAATGAAGGAGTGTTCCATTGCAAAACAGGGCTTACTGTCAGAAAGTTCTTCCTGAGGTTTAGCCAGAATCTCCTTTCTTCTAACTTCAAGCCATTGGTTTGGGTCCTCCCTCCAGAGCAGTAGAAAACAAGCTTGCTCCATTTTCTAGGTGACAGCCCTTTAGATCATGGGTAGGCAAATTAAGGCCCGGAGGCCGGATCTGGCCCAATCGCCTTCTCAATCCAGCCCACGGACGGTCCAGGAATCAGTGTGTTTTTACATGAGTCGAATGTGTCCTTTTATTTAAAATGCATCTCTGGGTTATTTGTGGGGCATAGGAATTTGTTCATATATTTTTTTCAAAATATAGTCCGGCCTCCCAGAAGATCTGAGGGACAGTGGACCAGCCCCCTGCTGAAATAGTTTGCTGACCCCTGCCTTTATTTGAAGAGGGCTGTCATAGCTGCTCTCTGTTTCCTCTTTACCAGGCTAAACATACCCAATTCCCTCAACCATTCCTCATAAGGCACGCTTTAGGCATATAGTAAGCCCTATACTAACAAAAGTCACAGCAGTAAACAATTGAATCCCCAAACAGGACATCTCAGAGAAGCTCCCTGTAAAAGTAGATGGGTGGAGTTGGAGAATAAGCCTTGTTTTAGTTATCACACTAGCCCAGTCTAGACAGCAATGTGTTTTTTGTTCACAGAAGCTTCAGATGTGACAAGGATGCATGAGGAACAGGAAGCACAAGTACCTGTCCATGTGCTTCTCCAGTTCACTCAAAAAAAGGCATGTCTGCATCTCCCCTGCAGGGAGACAGAGAATCAACTCCCCCCCCGGCCCCCCACATCCCATCTGTCATCACAGCCAAAGCTGCTTACAGACACAGCTTCAGCGTTTTTCAAGGTCCCCATTCTGAGCATTGCCACAGGCACTGGCTCACCACGTTCACAACAATTCCTATTCATAGATCAGGGATCACACTATGGAAATGCAGCAGCTAAAACACAGACAAGCAGCCTGCTGTGCTGGGAGGAGCTGGCACAAACAGGCCCCCCAAGTAACACTGAACAATATGTCTCCTACAATTGTCTTCCAGCCAGGCCCGTCTGAGACTCACCAAAATGTCAAAATAAGTGGTGGACCCTGCAGAGCTGAGACATCTGCACTGCTGTGTCTTATGGAATGTTCCACCATATAAACAAAATTATTAATTATTATTATTACTATTATTTGCCTTTATTATTTATTTAGCTATTAAATTTGTACACCACCCTTCATATCTGAAGATCACAGGGAGGTTCGCAACTTAAAAATAAAATAAGAACACAAAATACATAAGACAAAAACAAGGACAAAACAAACCACCGCTGCTGCCACCACAATCACATTTAAAAGGCCACTGAATGTTCATAGATGATGGGGCTGTAGTCCAACTACATCTGCAGAGACACAGTTTCCCAGTCTCTGTGGTTCTATTTTATATTATACAGTTTTACTATATATTAGTTTGGTGCCCAGGTAGTCCTTTGATCTAACCCAGCTTAGTAGAAATACTATGTTCTTAGTAGAAATACTATGAGAGGTGGAAGTTTAAAGCTCTTCTATTACACCAGTTGGGAGGAAGCAGAGGCTAGTTGTCAATCAGCTTCCTGCCTGGGTAAAGACATACGAGGAAGGATAAATAATAGTTGACCTTCTGGATCTCCACGGGAAGCTTCAGAGCCCCCTGCCTTGAGAACTTCTGACACCAGGCTCAGAAGCAGCAGGCCATGTGCATGCAAAGCCATGTGCAGCAGTCTCCTTGCTAGCTGGGAAAAAGGAGCGCGTCTTGGCAGCTTTTCAATACAGGGTTTTACAACATGGTAATTATTATCCCCGCTTCCTGAAGCCATCAGGGTGGGCAGAATATTAATGGTTTCAGTGCCTGACAGTCTTCACCAGCTGAGCAGAGCAAACGCAAGCAGCAACTCATCCTCCTCTTATTGTCAAAATACCAAAGTCATGTTTTAATGTATGCCCCATTTCCAGTGCAAGACCTCACTTATCAGGATCCTCCACTCACCAACATACTGAAGGCAGATAGTTAAAATCCAAGACGCCGGGCATTTTGCTAGCTTAATTTAAGTAGACACATGTTGTCTGTCAGGTCACACAATACTTGCACAATTATTGATTGATTGATTGATTGATTGATTTTATTTACTTAATTTATATCTCACCCTTCCTCCCCACAAAAAACCCAGGGTGGCACGAAGATCCACAATTTAAAAAGCAAAAGCAAAACCATTCTAAAAAAGGGTTAAACACTTTTATATGGTATGATATAATACCCTGCTGCAACACTTTTGGGTTGTCAGTAATGAAAAGTTATATATTTTTAAGTTCAAAGCTTCTAAAAGCAATTGCAGTTAGAAACATATCAGAGCAATTAGTTAAAAACGTTGTAGAAGCAATTAAAAGCATTATTCCATCCAGTGATCTGGGGTTGTTACTGAAGTCAGCAGAACAAAAGCTTGCGACTCACAAGGAAGACTGTTCTGCCCCATTGTGGGACCATTGACCGAGCAACAGAGTTGCATTCTAAGGGCAAAAAACAGCAGCTCTGTGGAAGGGAAATACAGGGGAGTGCAGCTCTCGACTTTTTTCAGGATAGGAGCAATGATATCATTGGCCAGTGCACCAGGGTAATTGATGGACCCTTCTTGCTCTGGCAAATGAATGGGGCCTCCAAGATTATTTGTGACAAATTAGTATAGAGAAGGCCAGAGAAGGAGAAAAATAATCAAGGAGAGGCTGGATTCTTCTTTCTGTTCCTACTTCTCCCTAGCAGTTTAAATGGTAACCCTTCTTTGCAAGATGGTTTGCATTTCCAATCAAAAGCTAAAGAGGTTGCAATTCAGCAGACAGGGATCTTTTGTTTAAACCTTGTCTCAATGTGTTTTTCAAGATGAGCCTTCGGGCTGTAGTTACAGCGAACTATTACGCAGAGTAGACCTAGTGAAATTAACAGACCTAAGTAAGTCACGTTGAATGCAATCCTAGGCAAGTAAACACTGCTGAGTTCATTGGAGCTTACTCCTAGGAAGTCCTGGATATGATGGCATATCATGCTGATCTAACAAACTAGGTATTATGCCAGGCATAGGCAAACACGGCCCTCCAGATGTTCTGAGACTACAATTCCCATCATCCCTGATCACTGGTCCTGTTAGCTAGGGATGATGGGAGTTGTAGTCCCAAAACATCTGGAGGGCCGAGTTTGCATATGTTTGTATTATGCTATTATGCTAGCGCTCATTGTTAGGTGTGGGTGTGGAACAAAAACCATGTTTTTGTCTCTCCTTGAGAGCAGGGCTATGGGGCTGTCATGATAAGCTCCTGCACTTCAAAGCTTACTAATACACCACTAGTCATAACCGACAACTGGCTGCTGCTGCTGCGGATGAGCCATATAATGCAGTCTTTGGGGCAATTCACGCAATGACTTATCACATAGTGTTGGTCCACGATGAAGCAACTACAAGCTGGCATTTTTTGGCTAGGCAACTGGCCTTGTCACTGGTACAGACCTGAGCTAAGATTGCAACTTTCCACTTCTGGCCTCTGTTCACATGGCCAAAGTTTCTGAGTTGTGGAGAGGAGAGGGCTCTTGTGTTTCCATCCTGCTTGCAGGTTTCCCATAGGAATCTGGCTGGCCATTGTGAGAACAGGATGCTGGACTAGATGGGCCATTGGCTTGGTCCAACAGGCTCGTCTTATGTCAAGCATTCTATCCTGTTTTATCCATGCAGACAAGTTACCCAACCTTAGGAGCTCTCTTTAAAAATAAAATAACCCAAGCCCACCAGAGCATCCAGCACCCCCAATGAATCCAATTGATACTTACCCACTTAGAGGTCTTGATTTCCTAATTTCAAAAAATTGAGTCCCTGTGTGATTGTATCTGGATTTCATTGGTTAAGGCAAAGTAACTGCATAACAGGGAGGAGAAATCAATTGGTTTGAGCAAGTGATATGACCATCATCACTTCTATAAATGCATACCATCTACAGTGGTGCCCCGCAAGACGAATGCCTCGCAAGACGAAAAACCCGCAAGACAAAAGGGTTTTCCATCGCGGAGGCGCTTCGCAAGACGAAGTTCCCTATGGGCTTGCTTCGTAAGTCGAAAACGTCTTGCGAGTCTCGCCATTTCCCCCCCACTTTCCCCCCCTTTTTCAAAGCCGCTAAGCCGTTAATAGGCTTTTAACAGCTTAGCCGCTAAGCCCGCTAAGCCGCTAATAGCGCTAAATCGCTAATAGCGCTAATCCGCTTAGCCGCCAATGGGGTTGCTTCGCAAGACGAAAAAACCGCTAGACGAAAAGAATCGTGGAATGGATTCTTTTCGTCTTGCAAGGCACCACTGTATTAAAAGTTATTACCTCCAATTTAATCACAGATTTAAAAAGATACACAATGGAGATGAATGTGGGGCTATCTTTGAAGGTGACTCAGAAACTGCTATTAATCCAGAATGTGGCTGCTAGACTGGTGACTGGGAGCGGATGCTGGGACCATATAATGCCAGTCTTAAGAGATCTACACTGGCTCCTGGTATGTTTCTGAGCACAATTCAAAGTGTTGGTGCTGACCTTTAAAGCCCTAAATGGCCTCAGCCCTCTATACCTGAAGGAGCATCTCCATCTTCATTGTTCAGCCCAGACACTGAGGTCCAGCTCTGAGGGCTTTCTGGTGGTTCCCTCGCTGTGGCCAACACAGTGGTTTATTTTTGGCAGTGTTTTAAATCACTTTCTGACTCAGAGTTGCAGCTTAATAGCCAGACAGAGGATGGCCACTTAATAGCCCAATGGGAACATCTGTTTCCAGCATGGAGAGCTGAACTGTAATGGAGCGATGTGTCAAAAAGGAAGCAAAGCATCAGCTTAATTTGCTGTTTTAGATGCGTGGGAAACTGGAGAAGCGGCTCTGCTTTAGAGTGGTTTTTTTGTAAACCTCAGGAGGTTTAGAATGGTCAATTTTTTAAAAGCTGGTCAGGTTCATTGCAATGTCAAACAAAGTTCACTCAGATTTCAAGACATCCTTAATGCTTTGTATACTTAAAGCACACTTCTTCCCCCTCCAATCCATATACCACTCCAATATGCTAGTCTGAATTGCAGGCAATTATCTGGGAAAGGGCTGTAGCCTTGGGGGGAAAGCATCTGCCTTGCATGCGGATCCCTGGCATCTCCAGGTAGAGCTGGGAAAGATGCCCTCCCTGAAACCCTGGAGAGCTACTGCCAGTCAGGGCAGGCAATACTGAGATAGACTGGGCACATCCACACTGTACATTTGAAGCACATGGCTTCCCCCAAAGAATCCTGGGAACTGTAGTTTTCTTCTCACTCAGCTGCAATTTGCCACACCCTTAACAAACTACAGAGTCATGGTCTGTAAATGTATGCTGTGGGTTTCTCCTTAGGTGAAAACTCAGCTTCCTTCTTACAGAACTCCCAGTTTGCTAAACCGTATCATTTCCTCTCTTTCCAGGCTGTGAACCACTCATGGCACTGTTCATGTACAAGAGGATAGCACCAGTAAGCTTGGGGGGCGAACCCAAAATTTGCAAAACAGCACCTAAGAGAGGAGGGAACCCAAGAAGCAGCTCAAGGAGTACTGAGCATGCTCAGTAGTCACAGAATACAGTGGTACCTCAGGTTACAGACGCTTCAGGTTACCGACCCTGCTAACCCAGAAATAGTACCTCAGGTTAAGAACTTTGCTTCAGGATGAGAACAGAAATCATGCGGTGGCGGCACAGCAGCAGCGGGAGGCCCCATTAGCTAAAGTGGTACCTCAGGTTAAGAACAGTTTCAGGTTAAGAACGGACCTCCAGAACGAATTAAGTTCTTAACCTGAGGTACCACTGTAGTGCTGATTTGGGGTGTAGGAGAATATCAACATTTTGTTGCAGATCTCACTTGTTCCATCTAATGATCTACCCCACCAAGCTCCTAAGGCTTCACAGGCCCCTTCAGCTCAATACAGGCCGCTCTGGCATTTCAAAGGTATGGCCGCCACCTTTTCTTCCTCAGCAGCAATTCATCACCACAAAGACGTGAAAATTCTCTTCCCAATGACCTTGGAAGCGGAGTTCACAAAGGACATTTTCAATCGATTGGATGCTAAATCTCCCTCTTCAATTACATCCTCATCAGTGTCAGCACAAGCTAATTGCATGGCCCTCAAGACCAAGCCAAGCAGGCCAAAGCTTAGGTAGCCTCACAAATCTTCCCTAGTGCCAGGGAAAGGCAGCAAAGAGAATTTTACCCCTCCTTTGCTTTCCATTCTCATGTCACATTTTACCCTTTTCCCTCCCTCCCTCCATGCATTCACTCAATAGCTCAATGGAAAAGCTTAACATTGCAGTTTTGGGTCTCCAGAACATATATATATATTAAAAAAAGGATACTGCAGCATCTTCATGTAATTCTGTATTGCCTGAAGCCACTCAGGGATGGTCATGGAAGCCTTGTAGCTTGGCAAGGATGGCATTGAAGGCTGTGAACGAGGAGAGAGAGAGAAATGTTGAGAGGTTGTTGCTTATTCAAGCAGGAAGGGGGCAGAGCTGAAATCACCTCAGGATGACACTGTTCTGCTCACACCAGAGGTCCGGTTATGGGGTGGCTCAAGCCCTGGGTCTTTTGTGCAGTGGCCCCACATCTCTTGACTCTTCGCTTCCCTGCTTTTTACCATTATTTGTTTTTTTTATTTATATTTATATGGATAGGTATATGCGAGTACATTGAAAATGCAAGTACTGACATGGAAAGAAGCACACAAAAATTGCAGTGTTTAGACAGGATACAGCAAATTGCAAGTAAACTTTAAATAACAATGATTTGTATAATCCAGAATACCAACATCCATTGACAAAAATTTAAAAGGGAGTGGGGAGCAAAGAAAAAGAAACCAGCATACTTAATAAAGTTAATTGGGGGAAGGTATGGGTTGGGTCCTTTGATTTATAAATGTATACATTTATGATATTTTGTAGAAGTAGTATCATATTCATTTGTTCTCATAAAATTGCAAAAGGTGTTTTGTCTAACTAACCATCTCTCTGACTACTGCTCCAAAGTTCTCTAAACATTTTCCATTCTTCCTTAAATGCTCTCTTTCTTAATTTTTTTTTAAAAAAAAGCTTTGCCAACAGGATTACTGGCCTTCATCAATGCCAGGAAGACCCTAGCCACCTACTCTCAAATTTGCACCAAGACACACTTCCATTTATGCAGATACTTGGCTCCTGTTCCCCATGTCCCAACTGGCTAGCAGCATCGCTGGTTTACACTAAGGAAGTTCGTGCAGCCTGACCCTATCTAGGCGTCTAGGGCAGGCTTCCTCAACCTCAGCCCTCTAGATGTTTTCAGACTACAATTCCCATCATCCTTGACCACTGGTCCTGCTAGCTAGGGATCATGGGAGTTGTAGGCCAAAAACACCTGGAGGGCTGAGGTTGAGGAAGCCTGGTCTAGGGCCTTGTAGATGTTGAAGGACTCCCACCATCCCCAGTCAATATAGCCAATGGTCACAGATGATACATCAGGAGGGCCACAGATTCTTCACTCCTGGCAAGTGCATATGTGACAGGAGCCAGCCAGCAATAAATCATATGGAGTAAGCAAAGTTAACTCTTTATTAGAAGCATAGTCTGCCAGGCCTAATGAGCACAGCAATTCTTCTTTGGTAGGTCTTGCCCCTATGAGGCAGTTGTGGAGACTGAGGAGCCCTACCTTCCTACAACTGTCTCATCCTCTCCCAGGTCCTTCCCAAGCAATCTGAGACTACGCTGGCATGTCTGCTTCTGCTTCTCTCACTTCATGCCTCTCCTGGTCCTGGGAGACCAGGGAGGGGGAAGCTTCTTCACCACCCTGGCTCATCTTTGCCTCTTGGCTTCCCTCACCCCTCTCTCCTGCTGCAACTTCCGATTCAGAACTTCTCTTTACCTAAGACTCTCCCTTCTCACTGAGCCCTGTTACCTCTTCAGCTTCCTCCTCCCAGTTTGCTCCCTCTTCTCCCTCTGAGCACTCATCGTCGTCCCACCACCAATCCCCAGGTTTGGGGGTCTTCTTCCCTTTGGGGTTCCCCAGCCTCCCACCATTCCTTTCTCTTTCCAGCCAATTCATGACAATAAGATTGGACAGTCTTGGACAGAATGCACACATTCAGTGCTGCAAAGAGCCAACTTCTCCAGGCTCAGTTTGGTCTTCATTCCAGCGTCAGGCCAGCTCTGCCAAATCAAGTAACTGTTTTCTTAGTTTGACCTTGCAATGCACAGAAGACAGTTCCCCATCACTCAGCACTGCTCCCTGAGCCATACTTTCCCCAGAATATTCACCGCAGCTGTTTGCGGCACTGTCAAAGGGAGCTGGTTATGATGCCACATGTCACTCTTCTGTGCCAGCAATTGACAAACGGACATGGACACATGCCTTCAACAGCCGGACTGCTGGCATATGTGACAGGAGCCAGTGACCAGATGCTGAAATGTCTGAAACACAAACAAGCTTCCTTTGCCATGAGAATCTCATGCTTGGTTTATGAACAACTTTTTAAATAAGTTTACCATTTAGAGCTGCATAACAGATTTACAAAAGAATGCCAAGCACCCGCTCTTAACAATCTGATGTCGGCAGTCAGGGATTCCAATGCTGTCACAGCTCTGGATAGTGCCTATTCCTAAAAATGGGACACCGATTTCCAAAAATGTGGAATATTGCCCCAGCCCTTTGATGCTGCTCTTCTGTTCCCCCAGGGTGCTAGATTTTGTTTAAGGAAATTATAACTTATTTATTTGTGTTTATTGCATTTTGCATACCACCTTTTCTACAAGAAGATTAAGGTGATATAGCATAGCTATAGCTCCTCCTCCCCATTTTCCCCTCACAACAACCCTAGGAAATAAGTTAGGCTGAAAGGCAGTGATTGGCCCAGTGAGCTTCATGGCCGAGTCGGGGCTTGAACCCTGGTCTCTGAGGTCCTATTCCGACACTTGTAACCATTACACCACACTGGCTCATTAAGGAAGAGAAGGTCACCTACTAGTCAGAGCAGACCGGGGCAGGGAACCTGGGGCCCTCCATATTTATTTCTGCCTGACTCCAACTCCCATGAGCCTGAGTCAGCAAGGGATGATGGGAGCTGTAGGTGAACAACACCTAGAGGACCACAGGCACTCGACTGAATTCACCAGAGGTGGAGTACTGGATCTTGAGAGTGTAACAGATTTTTTCTCTCCCGTGGGCCAAGATTGATGGTGGGAAACTGTGCCTACCTGTCAATCACCTGACATCACAAGAAATAATCTGATCCGGGTTGTGGCAGATTTCCATGCATGATGACGGAAGGGGTTAATTCCTGGTTTGCACTGGAATTGCCTTGCGCAGATGTGCACAGGATATTTAAAAATTAGTTGCCACCCTGAGATCTACTGTAGGATCAGGCAGTCCAGTGGGTATCAGACCAGGTTTTCAGGTTTTTTTGTTTTGTTTTTGTATAAAAGAAAAACAAATGGTCAGAGCAACTCTGTGGCACATAATAACAAAATGTCAACCTGCCCAGACGGACGACATGCTTGCTCACGACTGCTAAAACACAAGGGAGTTTAATAGGAAAGCCGTCTCAGTGCCCCACAGTATGTAGCCTTGCAGACATAACAGGTGGCTGGAAGGGCAGCTATCTCTGGAGAGTTTCCATCACAAGTTGTCTCCATCGCCAGCTGTTTCATCAATCACCAGGGCAGCCGCAAGTCACATGGTGCAGAATTAGAATTCGGAATGGAAAAAGCTGAGGGAAGGAAGCATCTGCCTTGACCGCCTGCAATAGCAACTGGGGCGCTGGGATGCTCATTGAAACCCAAATCCCAATTCCTTTCTGGCCAAGAGGAAATAGCGTGCCTCTGACACGCTAATAAGAAAATCATCACTAATTACAGATTTAATTTGGGTGGCATATGCCAGATTCCCATACGTTGCAATTTAGCACTTACTTTGAATAAGTCCATTCACAAGGATTTCAATTGGGATCTAGCAGCTGATGAATTAAAATGGAGGGGTTGGAAATAGGGTTGCCAACCATCTTAAAAAACAAAAAACCAAAACCCAGGTCTTTCTTTCAACCCAGTGTTGCTTCTGTGCCTTTAATGGTTTGATTGTCATACATTCATAGCTGGTAACGCATATCTGCATGATGCTTCACTCAGTGCCCTTCAAGGTGCTGTGACAGGTACAGGAGAAAGCCAGGCCGGGGGTTTTTCTGGTCAGTTGGCAACCCTAATTATCACCCTCATTTTTCAAAGCAAAGGGGAATGCTGAAATAAATACACAACAGATTCTGGGCAGTATGGCTAAGGGACTATATTTTCATTTTGTTATTTATTTAAGGCATTTATATGTGACTTTATATTCAGACTTTCTAAGCTGTGTACACAGAATGTTTAAAAAAAATCATACAAAGAATAAGATTAAAATTCATTCTAAAAACAGGGGTGGAAACCACTTTAAAATTTCTGCTGCATTAGGAAAGTCTTGTTCAAGGGCTTACACCTAATTAAATGTGCATAGGATTGCAGTGGTGGCAAATTCAGCCCACGTGGGTTAGTAGTGTCGGACTAGGACCTAGGAGACCAGGGTTCAAATTCCCACCTTAGGCCCATTCCCTGCCTACCAGCCTAATCTACCTCGCAGGGTTGTTCAGGGGAAAACCATGAGGGGAAATGAGGAAAGGGAAACCATGTGTGCCACTTTGGGCTCCTGGAAGAAAAAGGTGGGATGTAAATGTGATATATAAATAGATAATACCACTTCCCAAACGTTACACAGAGTTCTTAACTAATTCTGAAGGAACTTCTGGAGGCCATTTGAATGCCCTTCTCCAAACAACTTATATCGTTGGGTATGTGTGGAGGGCCTTGTATAGGGCTGGAGAACCATTAATCCATCTTGAAGTACAGTCTGTCATCCTTAGTGTTGCCATGACTGCAAGCAACATCAAGCCTGCCTCTTTGCTCACCAATGGTGCAATTTTGCTTCTCCTTTATATTGAAGGTGTGGGCAGCCTCTGGAGATGACTATAGCTCAGTAGCAGAGCACATTGATAGAAAGGGGACCATAACTCATTGGTAGAGTCTATACTTTGCATGCAGAAGATCCCAGATTCAATCTCCAGCATTTCCAGTTCTAGGTGGTAGGAAAGACTCTGAGATCCTGGAGAGCCACTGCCAGTCAGGGTAGGCAAGACTAGCTAGATGATCTGGCCTAGGCAGCTTCATGTAGTACTTGTAAGTGCACAGAACAAGCTTGGAGCAGCTGGCCAGAGTGAAACAATCCAAACTGCCTGGTTTGAGGGTTTCTACAGACTTCTCATTGCATCCCATCAAATCCGAAATTCAACGCAATCCTGAGCCAAGTGTCATTTTTCCTGCCAAACTGCAGCTGTTGTGCCACCTGTGATTTCATTTCATCACAAGAGCTGTTAGCAGAGAGCTGCAAACTTTCACAACTGTTCATGGAGGGAAACGACGAGACCCGACATTTCCAAATGCACGGAAAGCGATTCGTTGCTCAAAATTAAGTGCTTAGCATGGAAATGCCCAGATGACTGTCGCTGTTAACCACCTCTGGCCTCCGCTCTAATGTGCAACTACAAGCATTTCCTCCAGGGATGAAAACGAACAGCTGCTGGGCTGCGTTTATAGATGTCTCAAAGGTCTACTAATGCAAGTATAACCAAGGCTGGGAATATTCTACACTACACCACAGTACTGCACGCATGCATACAAATTGGTACAAGCTTCTTCTTTTAAAGCAACTTACTAGTCCTCTAAAAAGTAGAGACATCACCTTAAAAAGTAGAGACATCACCTTACCAACAAAGGTCCGTATAGTTAAAGCTATGGTTTTCCCAGTAGTGATGTATGGAAGTGAGAGCTGGACCATAAAGAAGGCTGATCGCCGAAGAATTGATGCTTTTGAATTATGGTGCTGGAGGAGACTCTTGAGAGTCCCATGGACTGCAAGAAGATCAAACGCATCCATTCTTAAGGAAATCAGACCTGAGTGCTCACTGGAAGGACAGATCGTGAAGTTGAGGCTCCAATACTTTGGCCACCTCATGAGAAGAGAAGACTCCCTGGAAAAGACCCTGATGTTGGGAAAGATGGAGGGCACTAGGAGAAGGGGACGACAGAGGATGAGATGGTTGGATAGTGTTCTCGAAGCTACAAACATGAGCCTGACCAAACTGCGGGAGGCAGTGGAAGACAGGAGTGCCTGGCGTGCTCTGGTCCATGGGGTCACGAAGAGTCGGACACGACTAAACGACTAAACAACAACAACTAGTCCTCATGGTACAGGAAAGGCCTGGAAACATGTGGGCACTTAGGCAAAGTCTCAAAGACCAAAGGAGGCTGAGCAAGGCATACACTGGTCCCTAGGCAAGACTTCAGTGCCCTCTTTAGAGCTGGTGGGTTGTGTCTAATGTTAGACCTACTCAGAGCAGACCCATTGGAACGCATGAGCATGCCTAATGTCCATTAATTTAATTGGGGTTTCTTTTTCCCATTTCCATGGCTACCTCACCCTATGCCTGACTTCCTTACAGTTAATCCTTTGCTTGCAAAAGAAAGAGCTACCAACCTTCAATTAGCCTGCAGGATAGCTCAGTCGGTAGAGCACGAGACTCTTAATCTCGGGGTTGTGGGTTTGAGCCCCACGTTGGACAAAAAGATTCCTGCAATTCAAGGGGTTGGACTAGATGACCCTTGTGGTCCCTTCCAACTCTACCGTTCTTTGAAACCCTCACTGGGGAAAGCAGAAATGATTGTGCAAATGAGTAAATACACACCCATGAGCTTGATTCACACACCTGGCCAGAGCAGAGGTGGTTAACCTTTGCCCTCCCCCCCAGATGCTGCATGGGACTCCATGTCCCATCATCCCTGACCATCAACCATGCTGGCTAGGGCTGGTGGGATTTGGAGTCCAACAACATTGGGAGATCCGTAGACTAGCCACCTGTCTGGGCTAGAGAATCTGCAGACCCTTGCCGCAGAATAAGGCCCATGACAAAGGAAGCTGCAGTCATAACTTACTTTTGCAAGGTTGTCAGCATTCCTTATGGTCTCCACCATCTCTTTGCCCGACGGATGCACCTTCGCCACGTGGCCCCACATCCTCTCCCAGGTCTTCCCATCAATAGGGAAGCCACTTTTGTTGACGAGGAAAACCACCCCTCCATCTTTGTCTTCCTCTTCCGAGCCCCCGCTGTTGGTAAGGCCAACCGTCCGGGCGTGCGAGCTCCTGGAACGGCCCCCTTTGTCTCCTTTAGGGTGGCGGGAAGCATTGGAGCTGGACCCCGTCATCGCTGAGCCTTCAAAGGGATGAGAGGCACCTCTCCGGGGCAAAGCGGGAAGAGACGGACAGCTCAGTGTCCCAACCAGGTAGCACTCCCCATCCCCTCTTCCCCCACCCCCCAAGGAATCAGGCTGGCATGAAGTTGCTTGCTAACAGCAGCCAAGCAGATCACCGGCGGGTCTCTCCTCTTGCAGGCAGAATCTATTCGAAAATAACAACAGAAGGTGCAAGACAGCACATGTTAGCATCATGGTCAGACGAAACAGCCAGTTTCCCACTAGGAGAACTAGCGAGCGCGATGCATCAGGCAGAGGCTCTCGTTGTTCTCAGCCAGAAATGGGAAACAATGGAACAGCAATAATCAAAGCAGACACTTATCGGATACACCTATGAAACAAAAGAGGAGGACCCTCCGATCCCTCTCTTCCTCAGCAGCCCCCTCAGGTTCTCTCTCACCGGAGCGCGGCAGAAGGGAAGAGGGACCCTGATCTCCCTCTAAGGACACGCATCTACACATTTATACGCACACCCAGGAATAACCCTCTGGGAACTGTCACACAAAAGGAAGCGGGAGCCTGCTGCTGCAGAGCTGGATCCCTCTCTTCCCGCATAACATTGTCCCGGGTGATCATAAATCTGTCACCCCCACAGCGAGGCTGGATTCCGCCAGATCTCCCTGCTTGTTGTGTCTGGCTACCCGGCTCCGCGCCTGCATGGAGCCTGACTTGGGGGCGGGGGGCGGGGAGGGGGGCGCACCGCTAAGGCCGTCGGAACGAGGATCCGACCGAGCATCTCGGCGAGCCCCGCCGCCGTTCAGCAGTAGAATCGGCGCGCTTCGTTCTTCCGGGGCTTGCATGCGGCAAACAGCCTCGGATGGTGCAGGTAGGAAGGCTGGGTGCATGCACGCCTGCAGGCGAGCTGGCACCAGTCTCGGGATCCCGACGTGCGGGGAGGAAGGCGGACCTGTCCGCTGTGATTACTGCAAGCCCTTTTTTAAAAAGCAGGCGGTTCCTCCCTCTCTCGGCCGCCGGGCGACCCCACCCATCCTCGGGCTCCCCTCGCCGCAAAACCCGGCCCGCCTCACCTGCTCGCGCAGCGATTCATTGCACCGGAGCCTCTCCCGGCGGCTGCGGCTGATGCTGCCTCTGCAGCTGCCTCGGCCGCCCCGGCCTCAGCCCATGTTCCATGATCAAGTGTTGCTCTCTGACATGGAACCATGTTACCCGGCAGCCGCCGACGTTCCGAGCGCCCCCATTGGGCGCCGCAACAAAGAAGGGCGGGCCTTGCGGACCCGGGCAGCGGCGCGAGGAAGGCTGGCCGGGCTCCGATTGGCTGCCGCGTCGGGCGCCGAGCGAGGCCAGCCCGGGAAATCTGATCGCTCGTGCTGCGAGTCAGGCCTTCGTGTCATTTAAAAAAAAAATTAAGCGGGGTTCTCCCAGCAGCGCCCCTTTCAAAGTGGGTGTAAGGGTCTATAAAATGAGGTGATTTTAATCTGCTTTAGTATTTTAACTTTAAAAAAAATGTTTTTGTTTTTTTAATTAGTGCTTTCAGGAATGGTTGTGAATTTCCATTTTTATATTTTGTCTTTTTCATCTTTTTATCTTTGTTTCCATTTTTATCTTTTATCGCTTTGATGCTTCGTTTTTGTTTTTTAAACAAGCAGTGTATAAATTTGATGAAACGAATCCATTAAAGGAAAGGGGTGGCGGCGGCGTGTCTTCTTGATTCGCTGCTGCGTATTCATAGCGATTCGAACAGATCTGAAGGCATCGCTCCCCTCCCCCCCACCCTAGGATATTCCACAAGTAACGCTGAGCGTTATTTATGACTCGCCCTCTGAGCTCATGGCTGATTTCAGTAGCAGATTCATGTACATACTATATATACTAATCACCAGGCAGACGATTAAACATAAACAAGAGTCACTGGCTATTCTTTCCTGGTGCCGTACATGTTGCTGGTGGTTGTTGCCTATAAATCCCTATGCAGCTTAAGACAAAGCCGCTTGAAGGACTGTCTCTTCTTATTGCGGGGAAGGGCCCTTGCTCCTTGGAGGAGCATCTGCTATGCCTGCAGGAGGCCCCTAGTTCCATTTCTGACCTCTCCAAGTAGGTCTAGGAGAGACCCTGGAGAGCTGCTGCCAGTCAGTATAGACAATACTGAACTAGATTGATGGACCAATGGTCTGATTCCACAGAAGGCAGCTTCTTATGGTCCTGTGCTTCCTACGGGAATCTGCCTATCCTTTAACATCAGCTGTTACACTCCCTTGTGTGTGCCATTGCTTAGTAAGGCGAGACTGGTGGCAATGCATGACGGGGCTTTTTCTGTGGTGGCCTCTTGTCTGGAACTGCCTGCCCCAAGATGTTAAGTTACCTTCCTCTTTACCTGGGTTTCTCTGGCAATTGGAAGTGTTACTTTTTAAACAAGCCATTTTGGCTACCTTAATGCAGAGGCAGCCAGATGTTGTTGAGACTCCAAATCCCATCCGCTACGGTCACCAGGGCCAATAGTCAGGGATTATGGGAACTGTAGTTCAGGAACATCGGGCAAGCGCTAGGTTGGCTCCCTCTGCCTTACTGTATTGATTGTGAGCGTTGCTCTTTGTGCTCCTGGTTGGTGTTTTTTCTCTTTCTTTTACTGCTGTTTATAGTTTTTTATCATTTGTGTTTTAATAGCTTGATCAGTTTGGTCTTTCTGTTTGCATTTATATTTTGTGCCACATTGAGCAACTCCTGTGGAGTGGGAAAGCAGAGTATGTATATATATATATATATATATATATATATATATATAGGGACCCCTGACCACTAGGTCCAGTCGTGACCGACTCTGGGGTTGCAGTGCTCACCTCGCTTTACTGGCCAAGGGAGCTTCCGGGTCATGTGGCCAGCATGACTAAGCCGCTTCTGGCGAACCAGAGCAGCGCATGGAAACGCGTTTACCTTCCCGCCGGAGCGGTACCTATATATCTACTTGCACTTTGACGTGCTTTCAAGCTGCTAGGTTGGCAGGAGCAGGGACCGAGCAACGGGAGCTCACCCTGTCACGGGATTCAAACCGCCAACCTTCTGATTGGCAAGTCCTAGGCTCTGTGGTTTAACCCACAGCACCACCTGCCACACAGAGTAGATGTAAATATATATATATTAATGGGTAAAAATGATGTATGGAAAGAACAAAAGATAAGCCAGGTTCTGCAGAATGAAAGCTCAACCTTTAACCTGACATTACAAGAGTGTACTTTGATCAATAGGAACATAAAGAAATATAACAGAAAGCATATATGTAGCCTCTTGCATGCTACATCTCCCAGGTCTGAGTTCTGGCAGTTTTCATTTTATAAATTAAGAACTGATTTCTAAAATGAAATATGCCAAACTCGAAGGGTTCGTCCACACTTCTGTTTGTCGTGTGCCTAAAAACCTGATTGATGTTTGCTCCGATACAGCAGGAAAGATTGAGCTTCTCTGGGAGACAAGCAGAAGTCTGGATGAACCCAAAGTCTTTTCCTCCCTCTCACTGAACCCCCCCAATCCCATCCCATATATGTGGGATCTACTTTATTTCAGAGTCTTAGGGTAAAAAATAAAGTGGTTGTTCTGTCTTCCGACTATAAACTTAAAATGTAACTGCTAAGATGTAAAATGCCTGCAAAGTAGCCCAATTGGATTTCCTTTCCTTTCACCCTGATGGACAGTGGCATAATCTGGGGTTTACGAAAGTCCCATTATAGAGATCAGCAGATTTGATCCGTTAGACCTCAGATTCCCTTTTCATCTACCCCAGATGGCAGATGGGGAAGAGGGAGGTGAAAAATGAACATATATGCTAAACTCGATGAGCATGTCAAGAATGAAAGCTATTTGAATGCTAACTTTTCTTTTCTTTTTATACACCACACAATAGACTTACTCAGGACTGAACAAGATTCGTCCTTGGCCAGGGCACCATCTGCATTCCAGGGGATTTGGGTGTGGGGGAGCAATCTTACAAACATTCTGATATGTGCCCCTTTGTATGGGCAGAGCTGGCCTGACCATTAGTCAGAGTATCAGACTAAAGCATCTGCCTCAGGCAGCTCATTTTAGGTGTCATTAAAGGGCAGCAAATAGTAAATCATATAAATTATTATGGTGGCATTGTTACCGCCAGAAAGGGAGAAAAGTTATTGTGAGACTTCCTGCCTCAGGTGCCAAAATCACCTGGGTAGCGTTTGGTACCTTTCACCTTGACAGAGGAAGGGGTGTGCCATTACAGTTCTTCCTCAGGCAGCAAAATGTCTTGGGCCAGCCCTGTGTCCAGGGGTGGCTGGTGGCTCCCTCTGGGACTGGTGGCATCAGGGGTGGATTTAGCAGAACGTGACTGGTTCACCCCCATTGGGCACTGAGCCAAGAGGGCACTGCAGGGGGGCGTCACAACAAGGACGAACAATGGAAGGCTAGAGGCCAGGGGGCACTGAATTTTGGCGTCACACAGGGTGCTGCTGAAATTTGAAAGCCCAAAATCCACCACATAAGCCACAGCCAATGACAGGCGGAGCTGACAGATCTAGCAGGCTCTTCTTATGCCCTTATGGCTGGCATCTAAAATTCCTAGGGAGCTTGGCCCATCCAGGAACCTCATGCTGTTTACCAGGGCGGATATTGCAGCTCCCTGTTCTCTTGGATGCTTGAAGAGGAGCACTGGGTATCTGAGCATGCATGGTTAGATCAAATAAACTATGCCAGGTTACATGGTTAGGTCCCAGCCTCTGAGCAAGATCTTCGCGGCACAAGCCCTGAAACTGTATTTCTGGTGATAGAATTGACAAGTGTGGGTTGCGGTGGCATTTGTTTGTTTGTTTGCAGATCTGCATAATGAAAAGTTTTAGTGCTACCGACTGCGTTAAGGTAACCCCAGAGCCCTTGCAATGTTGACTTGAAAAGACAATCTGCCTCTTTTGCTTCCAGTGGCGCAGTCAGGACAGGACCGTAGGGCAGAAACGGCAGGAGGCCTTGCCACATTTTGTAGTCAGTGAAGCTATGCACATTAAAGAAGGGCTCCTCTCTTCAGTCTAATATTACGTAACTGTTACAGCTTGCTCTGTAGGTATGAGCACACTTACTTTATGCTAATGCCACTCTGCGGCACTAAGTAATCCCCAGAGGAGCCAGCTCCCCTCCCGACTGTCTCCTTGGCTCGTGTTTCTCTCTCGGTGGAATTGCTGAACTCCATCATTAGCATGAGCAACCGGAAGACCATGGAGGTATTGTTTGAGGAGCTAAAGTAAACCAGCTGTGTGGGTTTGTGATGCCTGCAGAGTGTTTGGTTCCAGGAGAAAGAAGGGCATTCAGGAAGGGAACTGGAACAAAGATGCTTCTCTTTGCTGTGAATTTGCTGCGTGTTAAAGATTTTCGGCCCTGTTAACTCTTGGCTTCTGGGTGCGCTGACAACAAGCGAAACGGGGCTGGTTTCTGACTAGGTTTCCTGGGAAGCTGACTTAATACTGTGTCAGACCACTGACTCCATTGAGCTTAGTATTGTCCACACTGACTGGCAGTGGCTCTCCAGGACTTCAGAGTCTTTTCCAAACCCTACCTGGAGATAGATGGATTCCTGCCTGGATTGAACCTGGGACCCCCTGTACGCAAAGCAGATGCTTTGTAGCTCTTCAGTTTCTCTGCACTGTCTGCCAGCTTTCCCATTCCCTGAGCTGAAAGCGACAATGGCAGGTGAAAGATGCTCAGTTCAGCTTTGCTGCTTCTATGGGGCTTAAAGAGACATAGGTACATGTGTGGAGGGAGTAAAAGCACATTTATATCAGCAGCCCTCCTACACTGCAAGCACGCTCTCTGTGGAGAGATGGCTTCCGGCATCAGGCCTGTTGGCAGACCAACTCTGCATTACAAAGATGTCTACTAATGTGGAAGGAAGTCTGGAAACATTAACCCTTGCAGATGGGAATCCCT